GGGTCCTACTTGCGCGTCCCTAGTTGGACTTCTAGGGTTTTATTGTGTATGTATTAGGCATATGACTGTATCCATATACCTAACTTAAATACCTGTATATCTATAATTACATGTTCCTACAGTGGGAAGCCCGGCCAGCCGAGGCGGGCGCGCGCTAGCGTTTACAATTAGGGTCTAGGGAGGACATACTGAAGAGGCCTGGAGAATTACCAATATCATGTTGAGGTCCATCTGAGGTACCTTATACCATAATGCTTCCAGGAATCAAGGAACATAATATCCGCAACTACCCTGAACCCTACGCAAACCCTAAACCCCTAAACCCCAAACCCTAAACCCTAGGCCCTTTAGGTATACTGTAATAAGATCTCCATAAACCTATATTCTATCTCCTTGAGGGGATTACAGACCCCTGTAGTATCAAGGTCACATGCTTCATAGCTTCGCCCCTAGCATGGCAGAAGTGCAGGGGAAGATTCAACAGCAAGGCTAGCAGTATCAACAGGGCGCTTATCAAAGAATGGGCCTCTAACGCACGCTAGGGACTTAGGGTTTAGGGTTTAGGGTTAACGCACCCTACTTGGAGGGTCAGGGGACTTAGTAAGTAGGCTAAAAATGGGGATACTTAGGGTTACTATTTGGGTTATAGGGTGTATTAGCCTACTTACTACGTCCCCCTGACCCTCCAAGTAGGGATATATAGGGATTAAAAGAGGGAAGATGATAAGGGTCCATATTCGGGATTGTTTAAAGGTCATGTTGAGAAATACTCAACAATGGCAATAATATATTGGCAATAAAATATAAGCAAGGCTGCGGCAACAGATAACGGCAGGGACGACAGGTTTAGGGTTTAGGGCTTAGGGTTTACGGTTCCAAAAAGAGAAGACAACGAAGATGAGGACGAGGAGAAGGATCGGGAGCAGGAGTAGGAGAGGAGTGAAAAACAAATGGGCGGTAGAAGAAATGATCAATGTTGTATCATATTTTGGAAGAAGTCTTGGAAAACAGTCAAAGCGCTGCAAAACCCGGCAAACTTGCTCAAACCAGTAACACACACCTGACTTGTCACAAGGGCGCCCACTGAGAGAAAGTCGTATGGAATCATTAATGGGGACCCCCAGAATGGCCCCCATCACCCTAAGCCCTAAACCCCAAACCCTAAACCCCTAAACCCTAAACCCTTAAACCCTAAACCCCTAAACCCTAAACCTCTAAACCCTAACCCCAAATAGGCCCCTTGGGACCTCCAAGTTTGGAAGACCGAGCTACCCCAGTCAAAGAGGCCAGCAGCTAGGAGCCTTGGACTTGATTAGGGTTTAGGGTTTAGGCTTTGTAGACTTGGCTAGGAATATTGGGGTAATATTGGGGCTGTATAAAAATAACAGGGCATATATTCGGAGTTATATAGGGATAATGGAAAAGAAAGTGGAAACTGCTGTAGTATAACCAGGTATATTATATAAATGGGGTATATAAGGATAGTGGCAAAGCAAATGAAAACTACTATGGTATGATAGGGTCTATCTAATGGGTTATATAGGGATAATGGACAAGAAAATGGAAACTACCATAGCATAATAAGGGTATATCCTAAACCCTAAACCCTAAACCCATATATCATGGGTTATGTTGGGGAGTGAGGCAGACGTTCTGGCTCGGGCCTTAGGAATCGGAGTTGGGGCCTTGGGTTTGAAGGGCTTAGGGTTTGGGGCTTAGGGGTTAGGGTTCACGGTTTGAAGGGTTTGGGGTTTAGGGTTCAGGGTTTGAAGGGTTTGGAGTTTGGGGTTTAGGGTTTGAAGGGTTTGGGGTCTAGGGTTTGGGGTTTGAAGGTTTGGAATTTGGGGCTTAGGGGTTAGATTTTAGGGTTTGGGGTTCGGGTCTAAGGCTTCAGGCGCAGGAGTTCTTTACGTTCTGCGAAAACAAGGCATGAGGATTCATAGGGGTCATATTGGGATAATGCAGAATAAAATGGAAACTACTATTGAGGGTTTCGGGTTTAGTTAGGGGTTCGGGGGGGGCGAACGGGGGACAACTACTAGGACAGGTATCTGTACTGCCACCACTACTGCTGAATTTGTGACTATGCGAGCTGTTAACCCGGTGAGATTCATTGACACAGTATCCTTTGCGTAATTGCTGCCTGCACTTTCATTACTCCTGTTGCTCTTGGAGGCTTGCCTTAGGGTGAGGATTTGGGCTTGGTCCCCTCTCCCAGTTATGAAAAACCCTCACCCCCACCCCCTGAGCAGTTGGACTTGGGGCTTAGGCTTAAGGCCCTAAACCCTAAACCCTAAAAACCCTAAAACCCTAATCCGTAAACCCTAAACTACCTCTAAACCCTAAACCCCTAAAACCTAAACCCCGAGTAGGACAGGGCTTTGGGTTGCATGAGGACTTTCGGCGGGTTAGGACTTCAGGTTCAGCGTGTGGGGGTGTTGCCAAGTTGCAGGTTGATCTTGCAGGCCAGAGTGGGAAGGACAAGGAGGACTCATGTCTTCAGATTTAGGGTTTAGGGTTTAGGGTTTAACGTTCAGGGTTTAGGTTTCCAATTGGCAACCCGCAGCCTCAAGCCTACCTAGCGAGCTTGTTGCTGAGTTTGATGCTTTCCATGTGGACACAGGTTGGCAAACTAACTATCATGTTCTCAGAATTTTAGTTCTAGGGTTTAGACTCAGGGAAAGCAGTATGGGTTTGGAGGAGTTGAACAAAGAGAAGATCAGACTTTAGGTGTTGGCGTTCAGCATTTCGGCTCAGCTTGGTCCTCTGAAACCTACCTCCACTTGGTGCCCAATGGTAAGGTTTGGGCCTGAACGATTACCTGGATACTGCTGAGGTCTATGAGGTACCTTCAACTAGAACTATATGAGGAACCTTGGACCATAACATTTTCAACTATTTAGGCTCTTACATTATGTGCTTGTGCTGGGTTTTGCGAAGACGCTCAGAAGTTCTTCCATGTTTCTCTGATTTGGGGCGTGGTGTCAGGGTTAGGGGTCAACTTCTCTCTGCGCCGGCCAAACATGGAGTCAGTAGTTTCCAAAAAGTCACAGCGCGAAAAAGCATGTGGCATACCCGATGTGATGTGGGTGTGTGAGGACAGCGAATGGGAGCTGGATGCTTTTGGATTCCTGAAGGGGGCTGCATCAACAGAAACAACAGAACATTTTCTGGGGTGCACTATACAACTAAAGTATTGGCCCCCTGTGATCATTCAAGCCTCCACCCTAAGCAGCATACGCTACACCCTACCCCTCATAATCATTCCCTCACCTGACCCTAAACCCTACTCCCCCCTAAACCCTAAACCCTAAACCCTAAGCCCTCCTCCATAAGCCCTAATCTCCATATTCCTCAAGGAACCCCCAGCAGCCGCACGCACCGTGCACGGCACTCGCATCGACGGGGTCGTCAATCTTGCACTTCACCTAGCCAATACTTCTTCTGGGTTTAGGTCGGTTTAGGGTTTAGGGTTGAGAGTTTATGTAGGGTGTAGGGTAGGTTCGTCATCAGGATTTAGGGCTTCGAGTCCAAGATATATGGGGGCGTCCAGCTCCTTGTGGTTCGAAGGGGTCAAGGATTCTACGAGGTCTCGAGGAAGCCAAGCAAAGACACGAAGGATCCTTACATGAACCTCTCTTGGGACCCCGTTACTGTTAACACCATTGCTATTGCTATTCCGGTTACCATTTCTAGTACTATCTATTCCTGGTACTGTGACTGCTACCATGATGGTTATGCTATGTTACCATCTCTAAATATTGCCACCGTTTCTGCCGTTCCCATGAGTTGTTGCTGGTCGATGTGGTTTCGGGCAGGATTGACGGCAAACCCTAAATCCTACACCCTCGAAAATATGGACTTGCAACTGGCAAAGTGTGCTGCATAGCTTCCAGCCGTTCACTGGGTTGCTCTTGGAACTTAGCTTACGTTACTATGATCTAGAAACCCTATTATTTACCATATACTCGTAACTTGGTAACTTCACCTGAATTGAATGGTAGTTTGCCAAAATATGGGGACCCTGTAAGGACCCCACAATTTGGGAAACCCCCAAGTTCCTTAATACCAACCCGGCTTAGACGCCTTGAAACCTCATTGTCTTATGCAACACCTCAAGCAAAAGCCCTTGAACCCCAACACCAGTTCTGTCCAGAAAACTCTACGACGCATAGCCCAGGACTATTACCAACCCCTACTGGGTTTGGTTTGGGGTTTCGGGTTTAGGGTTAAAGGTGTACGGCTGATAGATCTTAATCAAAGCTTCGCGGAAAACTTGAGATTCCCCCAACCCTCGCGCACCAGGAGCATGTGGGCTGCTTGGTAGAAGAACGCACCAATGAAGCCAGTAAGCACAGCACTTCCACACTCCTGAGCAAGCCCAACACACCAAGTTCACAAGGGCAGGAGCCAAAAACATGAAGTTCAAACCCTGAAATAATAAGGGTTTGGAGTTCAGGCCTTGGGTTTCGAAGATCTTGGATGCGAAGTTCATTCAGGTCTAAAGGTTTTTGCGTTATTCACAGGTGAATGCCGCCCCACCTCTCTGGGCTTGCATGCTGGAGGTGCCATGGGTGGACAGGATCCCGCATCAACCTGTACGGTATCCCTTAACCCTATAGTCCCCTGTAAGTAGATAGAATATGGGGTATATGGGGATCTTATTACAGCATACCCATTCTATCTACTTAAGGGGGACTGCAAACACGAAACCCTAAGCCCTAAACCGTAAACCCTACTAAACCGTCAGCCCTAAACCCACTTGGAGATGCCCTCAATACGAGTCCTGGCGCTGTTTGGGTTGGAGCCCCAGCCACTAGTACTGACCTCCAGTGAAAAAAGCAACTATACTAGGATCCTACCATATTCCTAGTCGAACAATTAAGGGTTGGAGCCTAAGATCAAACACTGTAATGTAGTCAGGGGAAGAACCATTTTCTGTCTTGCCCTAAACCCTTAACCCTAAACCCTAAGCCCTAAACCCTAAACCCTTAAACCCTAAACCCTTCTGTCTTGCAGTCCTCCTCAAGTAAGCAGAACCCAAGATGATCTTGAACCATCTGACCTGCTCCCTATCTTTATCACAATCTGTCTACTTCGAGACAGTTGAGGCAGAAAACCATGCACCACTTAAGACCTTCAAGCTATGGTGTTTCCTTGGAGTTATGGTAACATCCCCACACTGGGCGGGCTTTAATTCAAACCCAATATACTAGAATCCTTTTTTCCGCGGCCCGAAAGGGTACCCCTAATTTTGGGAAACCAAACACCCTAAACCCTAAATAATAGTTTCCATTTTCTTTTCCATCATCCCTATACAACCCCTAAACAACCCATATACACCCCACTTCAAAAGGTACCCCTAATGCAAGGAACTCATATGGGTGGTTGTCAAAATTATGGTCCATTTTTGGATCCCTATTATAATACAGCACCTAATCTTTAGGGTACCCTAAAAGGGACCATAATTTTGACAACCACGCATATGGACCTGATGTTGGGTTTCCCTCCGAACAGACATGTGGCTCAGACATAGCTCTAAGGGATTTGGAACCCCAGTAGAAATTATAATTTCAGCTAAATATTAGGATTCTAGGTAACAGAAATTAGAAATTGTTTTCAGGAACCTTGTAGATAGGTCCATATGAGTTCCTTGCACTAGGGGTACCTTTTGAAGGGGGTTTATATGGGTTTAGGGCTTAGGGTTTAGGGTTATATAAAGATTACATAAGGATAATGGATCATGTCACGGTATAGGGTTTAGGGTTTGGGGATTAGGGTTTACGTCTTGGGGTTTAGAGCACCACCCACAATGGGATCCCTCCTTCCAAGAAATCCCATGTTAGCCAAGGGTCCATATTTCCGCACCCCGCTGTGATGGATACCAAGCCGGCCAGAATTCCGTTGCACAGAGCGCCGACATCGTACTTGTGCGTGAGGATGTACTGCAGCATGAAGACCTAATATAGGCTGTTTGCAGCATTGCTTGCTATAGTTCATTTGAGGACCAGCGCGCAGTTTCGGCCGAACGGTTTGGAGCTTGAGGATCAGAGCGTAAGGCTCCCAGGTCCAGGGACTGAGGGTCAGAACCGAGATGCCTCGTACAAGCCACGAACAGAAAAATCTTGGAACAATGATTGCAACAGGCAAGGAGGCTTCAGACAAAAGCAGTTTGCACCCAAGCCATCAACCGCGCTGAAGCTTCAACTCTGAACAACAGAAAGCTCGGCATCGAAAACCGTGAATCCTCATATTAACCCTATATACTATAGTAG